AAGTTTTGGCTTTACCATCTCTGCAGCTTTTTCAAGAGAGATAAGTTTGTGACCATCATGGTGTAGGTCTCTGCAGTCACGACAAATGGGGACATTGCAATCTGAACAAAAGTATCTTATCATCTCATCTTTGTGCTCTGGGCAGATAATCTTTTGATGCTGTTGGATCTCTCTTTGATGCTCGCTGCTGTGAAGTTGTTGAAAAGTCAGCACCTTGTGGTCTTTAGTGAATTTTGTGCCACAGTGAAATGGAGAACACCTCTCACATAGGTAGTCCTGGCAGTTGATACATTTTGAAGTAGCCACTGTTTCTGTTTGGGACACCAAAGCACAAGAGCTGCACTTTTTCTTATGGGTTGACTGAAGTACAGTGTCCTGCAAGCTTTCAATAAAGAAATTGTGAGTGAAGCCCTCAAGTTCATCTTTGGGTACTTCATTTTCTTTCAGACACACGGGACATCGTAATTTACTTCCTGGTGTTAAGTCAGGTATATAAGTCTTCAGACAACCTTTACAAAATGTATGCCTACACGGTAAATCTGTTGGGTCCTTATATTCCTCAAGACACAAAGGACAGGTCACAAAGTAGTTGATTATTTCCGTTCTGAAAATTTCTGCTTGTGGAGTCTCAGTTACATCTTTGGAGTCTGCAGTCGCCATTTTCCTTTTTGATTGTCTCCAGGGTGTTGTTCAGTATTTGTTCCAAAATTTTTTTCATGCCCAGATGTTTCTGCATTCACCTGATTTGACCTAGTTCTTTTCTGTAAGTTACCTGTATAGGATTTGGGTCAGCCTTTTTTTCTGACGTTCAACTTGACAGTGTTCATACTATTGATTTTACATTATAACTTATACTTGGCACGATGAGAATTTGTATTTATTATGAAAATATTTTGACACTTTTTCTGTCATGTGAGTGAAGCAGCTATTTAAGCTACAGATATTGTTAATAGTATTATGTAGGGAGATGGCCAGGGTATGGATGTGTTGTAAGAGAAGTCAGCAGTGTGGAGTGATATATTGTGTAAGTACTGGTAAATCTACAGATAGTGTGGAGGTATATGGTGTATTTGTCTTATGTATGGAGACAGTCGGGGGGGGGGGGGGTAGGTGTGTAGTAAGAGAAGTCAGCTGTGTTCAGTGATATATTGTGGAATCACTGGTAAATCTACAGATAGTATGAAGGTATATGGTGTATGTATACAGATTTTTAAAAAGGGATTTCAAAATGTTGAATGAAACATCAGATTTCAGACAGGTACACAAACAAATCATAGAGAATAAGGAAATGAAGTAGTATTTATTTAACAGTTACTTTAATATAATCTTTTCAGACATTCTCTTACATTTTATCTAAACATTCTTGAGAGAGAGAGAGATTTGCTCTCTGAGGTTACTTCTCGTGTAAGATTTTTTTAAAATTTATATCCGTGGTTGTCTATATATGATGCAGTTACTATTTTGTATGAGATTTTAGATATTTTCTAAAATTATTGCCTGATATGATAACTCAAGGCATTGTATCAGTCAATTAAAGATTTATTGACTTATGAATACAGGGTAAAATCATTGTAAAATGATATGATAAAACATTGCTCAGTCTAAGAATAATTTCCCTTCAGCATCAGGTATTTGGGGAAGCAAATTTCAATTTGATATCAGATGTAGTTGCAGTTAAAGATGCCACATTTTAAGTACAATTACTACACTGACATTTCAGTCTTTAAAGTTTATATTAGTTTGGTATATGCACACTTCCCTAAAATAAATACCCCCCCACCCACCCACCCAGAAAAAAAGAAATATGAAAAGAAATTAAAAGGGATTTTAGTTCAACTACGAACCATTTGATTTTCAGACCTCATGTTATTTGGAGCATAACTGATATCCATACACTGAAGAAGCAGGTGTCATTCAAGTAATACACATTAAGCACATAATTTATAATGCAAAACCAAATATCATTTCTTCCTAGTACTTCAGACAGTTCTCTAATTATTTTCATAACACATTAGACAGCCTTAAAACAAATATCTTTAAATATGACTTACTTAACATATGACAGACATTTCATTTTTCTTCTTTCATTTCTTTCATTTTCCCTTGTATTTCATCATTTCAAAGTGAAAAATAGTTAAGTTATTTGTTTTACAGGGTGGTCATTTCAGTTTTTCTTGTATTTTCATTACCAAATGGCATTATATTTTCCCATTCATGGTGTTAAAACTAATTGCTTAATACCAATCAGTTTTCTGCCATTCTTGAATTTATGTGTCTTTATGTATAGCATCATTTGAAATATAACAGGAAACTGTATAAAGTTCAGTTTTCTGAGTGTTTTAAAGCATGTCATTTTTACAAGTATTGGAATACTTTCACTTTCCCATCAAGTTCAGTCACAACCAGATCTCCATCTTGGTTGATGGTACATGCCCATGGTTTATATAGTCCATCAGCTTTGGTTGCTATGTACTTAATGAACTTCCCATCTGGTGATACAAGGTGTATGCAGTGTTTATCACAGTCTGTGACCAGTATGTTGTCATAGGCATCAACACAGACACCACGAGGTTGACCTAACTTGTTATCAGGTCCTGCGTACTGATACAGTGGGTCACCAGGTGGGGTTAGGATGTGAAGTTTGTTAGGTGATCTGTCACTAACAACAAGGCACCCATTGCTCATATATGCCACTTTATATGGTGAATTGAACAACTGCTCCCCATCTTTGTCCTTTATCACATCAGTTAAAGTTATTTTCCCGTTGATATCAATACTGAACACACTCACAGACTTTTCTATGTCACCCTGTGCCACAGCAATCTTAGTGCAGTTGTCATTGAGAGCCACACCACATGGGTTGTTGATATCTACAGTTTGCTGTACTTCCCAATGTGGTGACAAGATAAACAGTTTGTTATTTTTGACACCAGATAGAACCATCTTTCCATCAGGGAAGTGACAGATCCCTACTGGACATTTCAGCTGTGTGTGTGAGACACTGGTGATCGCTTTTCTGAATGTACCATCTGAACTGAAAATCTTGACCTTGTTTTTGATGCTATTGGTAGTAACATACTCCCTGTTGGGACTTGCTGAAATGTCCACTGGTATCATGTCAGTGTCAAACTCCAGCATATATTCAGCCTGTGGTTTGAACTTTGGCAAAGCTGGTTGTCTAGAAATCTGCAAATTCCCCAGGCCAGCCCCACTGGATATCTCTTGGTCCACTTTTGTGGTGGTGGTAAGTTTGAGGTTTATTTCCTCGGGAATTTTGTCTACAACTGAAGTGGACTGTAGCACATCTAGTCTCTGTCCAAGTTGGTGTTGTAACATGAGGACATCTATGGGGGCACCATGCTGTAGGATGTTCTTTACTACATCTGTTGTGGTTTTGATAGAGGAGCAAGTGGCACTGCAGTTCTCATGGGTAATTTGTAAATTCTTCCAGTGAGTGCTGCTGGTTTCGTGAAGTTCCTGTAGTAAGGTCTTCTCGCGTTGATCTATGAGTTGACGTAGATGAGCTGCACGAGCTTTTATCTGCTGCTGAACAGAGCTTTCATTTTCTAGGAGGGTTGCCAGTGTGTAATCAATGTTAACTAGTGAATTTTCTCCTTTTGCTAATTTTCTTTCAAGGTAATGACATTTAGTCTCTAGTTTCGGTTTTACAATATCTGCAGCTTTTTCAAGAGAGAGAAGTTTGTGACCATCATGGTGTAGTTCTCTGCAGTCACGACAAATGGGGACATTACAATCGGAACAAAAGTACCTTATCATCTCATCTTTGTGTTCTGAGCAGATAATCTTTTGATGCTCTTGGATCTCTCTTTGGTACTTTTTNAGCAAAGTGGCCGCATTTCCACGTGGCGAAAATACGCATGCGCAGAAAGCTCATTTCCTTGCAAATTCAATAACAACGTTTGCGACAACCGACTTCGTTGGGGGGGGGTGGGGGGGCTTTTTTTTTTTTTTTTTTTTTTTGGAGAACGGGCGAAAATCCGTGCGCGTGCAGGATGTCATCCATAAAATTAAAAAAGTGTGGCCTTATAACTTATACTTGGCACGATGAGAATTTGTATTTATTATGAAAATATTTTGACACTTTTTCTGTCATGTGAGTGAAGCAGCTATTTAAGCTACAGATATTGTTAATAGTATTATGTAGGGAGATGGCCAGGGTATGGATGTGTTGTAAGAGAAGTCAGCAGTGTGGAGTGATATATTGTGTAAGTACTGGTAAATCTACAGATAGTGTGGAGGTATATGGTATATTTGTCTTATGTATGGAGACAGTCAGGGGGTGGTTGTGTAGTAAGAGAAGTCAGCTGTGTTCAGTGATATATTGTGTAAATGTACAGATAGTGTGGAGGTATATGGTGTATGTGTACAGATTTTTAAAAAGGATTTCAAAATGTTGAATGAAACATCAGATTTCAGACAGGTACACAAACAAATCAAAGAGAATAAGGAAATGAAGTAGTATTTATTTAACAGTTACTTTAATATAATCTTTTCATTTACATTTTATCTAAACATTCTTGAGAGAGAGAGGGAGAGAGTTTTGCTCTCTAAGGTTACTTCTCATGCAAGATTTTTTAAAAAATTATATCCGTGGTTGTCTATATATGATGCAGTTACTATTCAGTATGAGATTTTAGATATTTTCTAAAATTATTGCCTGATATGATAACTCAAGGCATTGTATCAATCAATTAAAGATTTATTGGCTTATGAATACAGTGTAAAATCATTGTAAAATGTCATGATAAAATATTGCTCAGTCTAAGAATAATTTCCCTTCAGCATCAGGTATTTGGGGCAGCAAATTTCAATTTGATATCAGATGTGGTTGCAGTTAAAGATGCCACTTTAACATTTAAAGTACAATTACTACACTGACATTTCAGTCTTTAAAGTTTATATTAGTTTGGTATATGCACACTTCCCTAAAATAAATACCCCCACCCACCCACCCAGAAAAAAAGAAATATGATCAGAAATTTAAAGGGATTTTAGTTCAACTACGAACCATTTGATTTGCAGACCTCATGTTATTTGGAGCATGATTGATATCCATACACTGAAGAAGCAGGTGTCATTCAAGTAATACACATTAAGCACATAATTTATAATGCAAAACCAAATATCATTTCTTCCTGGTACTTCAGACAATTCTCTAATTATTTTCATAACACATTAGATAGCCTTAAAATGAACATCTTTAAATATGACTTACTTAACATATGACAAACAGTTCAGTTTTCTGAATGTTTTAAAGCATGTCATTTTCACAAGTATTGGAATACTTTCACTTTCCCATCAAGTTCAGTCACAACCAGATCTCCATCTTGGTTGATGGTACATGCCCATGGTTTATATAGTCCATCAGCTTTGGTTGCTATGTACTTAATGAACTTCCCATCTGGGGATACAAGGTGTATGCAGTGTTTATCACAGTCTGTAACCAGTATGTTGTCATATGCATCAACACAGACACCACGAGGTTGACCTAACTTGTTATCAGGTCCTGTGTACTGATGCAGTGGGTCACCAGGTGGGGTTAGGATGTGAAGTTTGTTTGGTGATCTGTCACTAACAACAAGGCACCCATTGCTCATATATGCCACTTTATATGGTGAATTGAACAACTGCTCCCCATCTTTGTCCTTTATCACATCAGTTAAAGTTATTTTCCCGTTGATATCAATACTGAACACACTCACAGACTTTTCTATGTCACCCTGTGCCACAGCAATCTTAGTGCAGTTGTCATTGAGAGCCACACCACATGGGTTGTTGACATCTACAGTTTGCTGTACTTCCCAATGTGGTGACAAGATAAACAGTTTGTTATTTTTGACACCAGCGAGAACCATCTTTCCATCAGGGAAGTGACAGATCCCTACTGGACATTTCAGCTGTGTGTGTGAGACACTGGTGATCGCTTTTCTGAATGTACCATTTGAACTGAAAATCTTGACCTTGTTTTTGATGCTATTGGTAGTAACATACTCCCTGTTGGGACTTGCTGAAATGTCCACTGGTATCATGTCAGTGTCAAACTCCAGCATACATTCAGCCTGTGGTTTGAACTTAGGCAAAGCTGGTTGTCTAGAAATCTGCAAATTCCCCAGGCCAGCCCCACTGGATATCTCTTGGTCCACTTTTGTGGTGGTGGTGAGTTTGAGGTTTATTTCCTCGGGAATTTTGTCTACAACTGAAGTGAACTGTAGTTCATCTAGTCTCTGTCCAAGTTGGTGTTGTAACATGAGGACATCTATGGGGGCACCATGCTGAAGGATGTTCTTTACTACATCTTTGGTGGTTTTGATAGAGGAGCAAGTGGCACTGCAGTTCTCATGGGTAATTTGTAAATTCTTCCAGTGAGTGCTGCTGGTTTCATGAAGCTCCTGTAGTAAGGTCTTCTCGCGTTGATCTATGAGTTGACGTAGATGAGCTGCACGAGCTTTTATCTGCTGCTGAACAGAGCTTTCATTTTCTAAGAGGGTTGCCAGTGTGTAATCAATGTTAACTAGTGATTTTTCTCCTTTTGCTAATTTTCTTTCAAGGTAATGACATTTAGTCTCTAGTTTCGGTTTTACAATCTCTGCAGCTTTTTCAAGAGAGAGAAGTTTGTGACCATCATGGTGTAGTTCTCTGCAGTCACGACAAATGGGGACATTACAATCAGAACAAAAGTACCTTATCATCTCATCTTTGTGTTCTGAGCAGATAATCTTTTGATGCTCTTGGATCTCTCTTTGGTACTTTTTGCTCTTCAGCTGTTGGAAAGTGAGCACTTTATGGTCTTTTGTGAACTTGGTACCACAGTGGAATGGAGAACACTTCTCACATAGGTAGTCATGGCAGGTGATACATTTTGATGAAGCTACTGTTTCTTTTGGGGACACCAAAGCACAAGAGCTGCACGTTTTCTTATGTGTTGACTGAAGTACAGTGTCCTGCAAGCTTTCAATGTAGAAATTATGAGTGAAGCCCTCAAGTCCATCTTTAGGAACTTCAGTTTCTTTCTGACACATTGGACATCTGAATTTACTTCCTGGTGTTAAGTCAGTTATATAAGTCTTCAGACAACCTTTACAAAATGTATGCCTACATGGTAAATCTGTCGGCTCTTTATACTCCTCAAGGCATAATGGACAGCTGATAAAATGTTCTGTAATTTTGGCTTGAAGGCTTTTCTCGTCATCTCTGTTACCCTGAGCTGTAGCCATCTTTGGGAGGGCGTGGAGTGAACTGTTCTACTGGTATGAAGAACAATTATCTTGTGTTATCAATTAACCAGTTGCAGGAAATGAACTATGACTCTTGGGCAGAGTTACAACTATTGTCATATCAGTAACCCAGTTGGCATACTTTAAGGCCACAGCAGTATTATTTTATATTTCACTGTGTTTTATGATTTTTTTATTACTTAATATTTTTTCAATACTTCATTTATTTAGAGGGAGAGTTAGAGGGTTATCAAATAAATACAACTCATGATATGATAAAAATAACCTTTTTTAGGACAAAAGATATTATAAAATTATTTCTTGATATTTCTGTATTTATATAATGAACAGGTTAAGGGTACTGTTTAATAGTTTGTTTGTGTGTATGTGCTAGTGTGATTTGTACTTATAACATCACATGCAGGAGAATAAATATTATTTTTATCATTATCTTTCTCTCTTAAGATAAAAGTTAAATATTTGTTGTATGTTATGTCTAGGCAGGTTGTGGTCTAATAATTTTTATGTACAGACATTGTGTCTGCACATTCAGCCCTGACATGTGTCTGTGGTCGCCGCCACTCACTTTTCATTGTTAACACAATAAATGATAAATGAAACTGTGAGACTTTTTATCTCCAGACCAACTGCATTGATTCATAGCACTGAGATACAGACCCAGTGCAAGTTGCAGATGTATAGGACCATTTTCCTTAAAGCTATATATTTTCATTTAAGGTCTTTATTTATTATTTTTTTCTTAGACAACATTTCCATTCCAGTGATTTTCACACTTGTCTCTGAAAGGTTAGTCCTACCTCATGCAGGTTCTCCCATGTGCAGGCATGTTCTCTAGTCTAATATGATCTCACACAGGGCAAACGGACTCGGGCTATTTTCATCCTTTCGCCCTATTTCAGGCACAGCCAGCACTGACCAGCTGATGACCTTTGCAGAGTATTCCCGTAAAGTTGGTGGCACCAAGAAAAAAACGGAACTGTACAGGGAGAAAGCCATGCGAGGACCGCGACACTGCCATGTTTGGCAGGCTGAACACTTTATTGATTTGATCCTTAGGTAAAGCAAGCTTCCTTTTGTTTGTTTGTCAAAACCATACCCACAGCCAG